GATACATTGTTATTTTGTATGTGTTCTGTGTTCTTTCTTGCATCTCCTCCAGTAGCATTTGAGTTCTGTAAGCTTGTCCTGCAGATTGATAATCTTGTGAAGGGAGCATCAGGTCAAGCCATACAAAATCTGAACTTAATGATGGGATACCCAGAGAATACAGGGCTACTGTATCAGCCTCTCTTTCCTTAGGGTATATTTCTGTTACATATGATGTCTTATATTCTGTATTCTGTATGCTACTAAGTCCACGTGCAATAAACCAACTGGTTGATGATGCCAAAAAAAATTATATGTTATGATAGAATTATGTTTGAGCATATTTCTCGCTGTACTAGTTGCTTTCTTTTTTTAATTAAGCCTAATGTCATATGCATCAAAGCTTTCAAAAACTTTTAATTTTTATTTAGTTGAGGTCTTTTAGACTACATGTTATTGAGAGACAAGCATTATGACTTAAGATTTAGTTCCTGAAAACATGTGAACTTACTTCTTGATCATTAACTGTCGCATCCTTGCAGGTATAATGTCAATTGGTTGTGGATTGCCAATGATGCTGTTTTTTTTGCTGTGTCCAGTGAGAGGGATTCAGGCTTCGATTGTTGTTGTAACTTGTAACCGGTGGGACAATCCAACGATGCTGATGATTTCTTGTACCATGCAACTAAATCCTTCTCTCCCCTCTCCACACACAGAAAAGTCCTTTCCGTATCATGTAGTTTTGAGGGACATTGGATCCTGTTGAGGGAAGCTCAAGTTAAAGTTGCTGTTTTATCTTTGGTTGTTGTTCACTGCAGATTGGAAAGCCTAGATAAATTTATCATATTATTTCTTTTTTTTTTTGGTGCAAATTTTAATAATTTTTTTCCTATGAAGTGAAAGATGAGAAATAAATTTCCTTTTTGGTTTTCATCGAAGTCTTAAATCTTAAAATAGTGTTCACTGTTCAGCTAAGTTTTTTTTTTCTTTTTTTTTTTGTTGAAGGGTAGCAAATCGATACTATATACTAAAGTAATCACCAGGATTTTTTTCAAAAAAAATAAAAAATAAAGTAATCACTAGGATTATCCTAATAGCATACGTGTCGCGTCATTTTCCCGCCAAAAACTATTTTTTCTTTTTCCTTAAAAAATAATAAGATAATTGATAAAAAAAAAATAATACAAAAAAAAAAAAAAAAAAAGAGGAAGAGAGAGAGAGAGAATATGCAGTCTAAAAATTAGAACAATAACAACTTTGAATATATATAATTGTTATGAAATATTATGTTGTGTGGATATCCATTATCCTCCTTTGTCATTTTGGAATGTTCTAGATCTAGGGTTTATTGTTATCTAAGCAAACCCTAATTATATTGTATGTATATATATATCCCCACTCTATGGAATAATCAGACTGATCAATTCTCTCTCAATTTCTCTCATATTTCTCCTTATTTTTATAACACGTTATTAGCACCAAAGCTCTAACCAATTAAATCAAGTTATCCTACTCTAAAACCAGTTACCACCAAACAGGTATATGTGGCTATTCCTTATAATTTATTTAATAATATCTATTATGGTTATGGATTTAATTTGGCATCAGGATTGAATTTTTGATTATCCTATTCACATGTGCACAAATTATGTTTTATTTATATTGCATTGTATCGTATTGGTTAGTTCTTTTTTTGTTACTATGACTTTGATTTAGTATAGAATTTTGTAGCATGATCGGCAAATACCATTAATGCTTTTGAGATATTTATTGATCGTAATGGCGTGACCTTGGACTTATTTATCAAGACCATTGCTGCTCATTAAGTCGGTAAATCGATCGATTATGTTATTTTATCACTTTATTGATATATAATAAGATCAAATTAACTTCCTATGCTAATCTTTATATTTTGTGTTGTAGTTTATGATACTACTAAATTATAATATAATAATTTATTATTATTTTCTCTTTTGGCTATGATACGATAATTATTAACAATACATACCCTGTGGAATTCAACCCTATTTGATTAAGCGAAAAAAAAAATGAGGAAAACCAATAATCATCGAGGTAAGTGTTTTGTACTTACTGGATTAATTTGAACGAAATTTATTAAGTATACTTATTAAGATTGGTATATCCGTAATTGACTAATCCAAGAGTATACCCAATAGATCAACCTATGTTGGTAGTGACAGTGTTCATAAAGCCCCAAGGGAGGTAATATAAGGCTTGCAAAGTATAAGGTTGAATCTATAAGGCTTGCAAAGTATAAGGTTGAATCTGTTGTCAAAACAGAGCTTGTTGTCAGTGTTTTCATTTATTTGTTCTTTGTTAGTTTGCTTTCTTAAAATTTATGATTAGAACTATATTTCAATTTATCAAACATGTATGTTTTCCATTAATGCAAAGTATATATGGTATGCACCACTTGTTGAATTTGTGGTATATAGTGCTACTTGTGCTTGCTTCTATTAAAATAAATGACTAAATAGTTTGTATAATCTTCTCATATGCATGACGAGTGCAATTTGATATCTTGCATGCACCGAAGACGTTGCAGAATGCTAACACCCTACCACTATGTATAAATTTATATATATCTTTATAATTTCATGATTAGTATGCTTGATTATTTCTACCTTATTATTGCACATGCTTGATTAAGGATTATCATTGCTACCTTATTATAATAAAGCATTATTATATAAGCTTTATTGGATGATGGTAGATATATTGTTCGAATTTTTTTTATGTCTCATTTTTTTTACTCTAATAGGCGTATGGTATTTAATTATATTGTATCATAATCATTGTTAAATCCTTTGTAACACCATTGTATATCAAGCAACTCTCATGAGCCTATTAGTCGATAATTAATTACATGAACTCATTTTGGAGTTGGTTGAATTATGATGTTCAATTCTTATGTGCATTGAATTGTGTTTTTTCTATTCCATAAGTAGTAATGAGACGTTGCTTTAAATATTCATATTATTTTATATAACGATTGATATCATTATTTGTGTAGTAGTGTTTGAACTTGATTTTAATTTTTAGTGGTAATGGTTGCCTTTTAGATTAATAAAATGTTGAATATATATGGACTATTGAAGTATAGTATCCATTATTATCCTTTTTATAGGTTCGATAATTATCTTAAAAACTTCTTCCTTGTTTAAAGCATATATGCTAGTTTTCTAGCTCACTAGAAATAACCTTCTATTTTAGATAGTCCCGGAATACGCATATGTACATATTAATTGTGTTACAGATTTAACGAGAATATAATATCAGTTTTAGATTTTGTTAATGCAACCCCTCTTGCTTCACATGCAATATGAGATATTAATTGATGTGTGATTGAATTTGATTATATACCTATATACATAACGTTGAAATAATGTATGAATTGAACATGAAGTGTTCGCACGTAAGGACCTGAAGTTCCTTAAACTAATGAAGGGTCATATATACATGATCTGATAATGTCTATCGTTCGCAAGACTAAAATGATTTTATAAACACAATGTCAAGAGAAAAACATACAAATTATTTTTGATTAGTTCTAATATTGTCTTTTGGGTGCACATTTAAGATATTGAACTTGATCTATATATATATATATATATATATATATATATATATATATATATATAATATATATATATATATATATATATATATATATATATATATATATATATATATGAATGTTGATAAATAATTCCCAGAGAAGTTCATAAACAATAATTGAATGAGCCTTATGATTAAAAGATAGATGTGTTGCATGATGATTATCATTCATGTAAAGTTCATAATAATTACAAACATGAGTACATAATTTTCATTTGAAATAAAATTAATCTAAGCATAACAATGTGAAAAGATTAATCAATTAGTTGAATAATGTATTCACTATGCCCATATTTTTGAGAATCTTCAATATAAAGATTCATGTAATTGGGCAAGAGGAAAAGAATAACTTTGCTTTGTTTGATACATGCATTGCTACAAAAATTTATGGCTTAAAAGGAGTAAGGGATTTAAAGAGTGGTGGACTATTTTTATACCCCCCACATGCAAGGATTAGGGGGAGATAGTGTTTATTCCATGGTTTTTATGTAATCCTAGCACATGAATAATTAAATATGTTGATGGTCAGTTTGGTACATACACTAGCATAAATATCAACGATTTATATAATAGAGGTGGCCACATGATAATCGAATATTTAGAATGATACTATCCTGAAAATGGATATGAATAAATAACTTTTTACTAGCTATACATGTACATATTAAGTTGATGTCCTAGAAGGACAAGATCAATTGCTATTGAAACTAGCACACCTGAAGTGTGGTAATCCAAAGGGTAACAACGGTAAGAATCCTTGGAAGAGGAAAGGAGCAATAATAAACAATGACAAATTTGAGGAAGTGACACATTATGATGGATCTCCTGAAAAGATCATTTATAGTACTTTAAAATGTGTTATGACTATGGCCCTGTTTAGTTCACCTTATTTTTACTTATTTCAGAAAAAATAAGTTCAGATCAGATCAGAAAAAATAAGTTCAGATCAGATCAGATCAGAAAAAATAAGTTCAGATCAGATCAGATCAGAAAAAATAAGTTCAGATCAGATCAGATCAGGAAAAATAAGTTCAGATCAGATCAGATCAGAAAAAATAAGTTCAGATCAGATCAGATCAGAAAAAATAAGTTCAGATCAAATTATTATTATTATTATTATTATTATTATTATTGATTTATGATGTATCGGATTTGATTTTATCGTTTGTTTGAACTAGCAACATTGTCTATGTTATTAAATAGCACAAACAATAAACGATAATAATTAAAATTTCATTATAAGCTCCAAATCATAAACGTTTACAAATATAATTTTCATTTCAAGACGTTCCAAATTTCCTTCGCTATATTAAGTTGTACTTCTTTCATTACAGCTTTACGATTCTCGTTAAACAAATCATAATCTGCTCTTGGTTCGATTTCTATACCACTATCAATGGGTATATCCAACTCATGTAATCGAATAAAATTGTGAAGTGTGAATGTAGCAACCATAATTGCCAATGATGTTTAGTGTCCATTTGTGGCATCATTGTCAATATTTTCCATCGACCTTTTAATTGTCCAAAACATCTCTCGATCGTTGTTCGAAGTGAAGAGTGAAAATAATTAAAAAGTTCAAGCATGCCTTGTGGTGGTGGACCATTTCGAAATTCAGGCAAATGGGTTCTAATATCTTTTTCTTTTATTGGACTCAAATATCCAACGGTATTCGGATATCCAGAATCTACTAGATAATATTTTCCTGTTACAAAATAAAGTTATACAGCATATTAGTATAGTGTCATGTATGGAGTAAAAACATACACTATTTTAAATTATACCTGGAGGTGGATGGGGAAATCGAAATTCTGGTACAGTTAAGCAATGGTTCCATACAGTAATATCATGAACACTACCTTCAAATCCAACGTTGATAAACGTGAAAAGCCTATCAAAGGAACAAGCAGCCAAAACATTCCATGTTTTTTTTCCTTTACGCCCTCGGTGTGCCACACCATCATCATCGCTTACAACTGCATTTATATGAGTCCCATCCAATGCTCCAACACAATCCTAATAGTTCATTAACATTTAGGATACATTTTATAAGTGATTATATATTGTATATGCATAAAATAATATAATGACAATGCAAGATAATAATAATGTTTCTTAATACCTTGAAATATGGCCAATATTTTGTGCTGTCACCTATTTTTTTTGGCACCACGGTCAAACTTTGGTATGGTCTTAATGATCTCGGTAGACAAATGAACCATTGCTTCCAGTACTTGTTTAAAGTACAACCCAATTGTTGCAATAGAGTGCTGAAATCGACCGGCAGCATCACGATAAGAACTGCCTTTAGCCATGATATATAAAAATATTCCTAATTGCTCAGCCACAGATATGTAACGACCATCCGATAATAAATTTTTATTTTTCATGCAAGTAACAAGATCCACAAATATGTTTCTATCTAATCTCAATTGTTCTTTGCATAAATCAGGATGGGCATGTAGTAGTCTGTTTATGTATTCGCTACCAGATTCTCCACCTAACCTTAGAGGCAATCTCTCAATTGGTGTAAGAAGTCTCTTTAGCTCTTCCAATGCGATAATTGTCAAGCACATTGGAAGTGTGTTATCCATTCTACAACATAAGCCAACTAAATACCAACATTATTCAATTTGTAAAATTAAATCAAAAATGACTTTTAAAATAAAGGCTAAAACTTGTTAATTAGATCACCTGAAAAGCAATAGCATCATATGAAGCTACTTAAACCTAAAGGTTAGAAAAAATAGTAGCTTCATATGTGGAACCTTAACTAAAACTAGAACAACATCAAATAACTAACAAAGAACATATGAAAGTGCAAAACAAGTCATAGGAAAACATAAGACAAAGTTAACTTCAAATACTCATCTCCCCAAAAAACCTAATTAAGGACCACCCAATGTTGGATCTTGAAATGCTGTCTTCAAATACATGATCTTCTGATCATCACTTCGGAGACCTAAGAAGAAATCTGCATTATCGCCATGATGAAGAAAATTCATACATTGGTAAATAAATCCTTCTCCTTGTTGAACAATAGCCTCAATATTGTATAGAGCATCTGAGACATCTTTATATTTATTACCACTCCCTTGCTTACAATTAGTTTCAATAGACATTTTCAACAACTCTATACAAGAGTCAATGTTACTACTCTTGTTTTTTTTTAAGTTTACTAGTACACCCATCACTCTTACGTTTCCCCAACGAGGTACTTTTAGGAGGTGAAATGCTATGTTCATCATCCGAATTATTTATTCCCCTACTCATTTCCATATCTCCTATATTTTCATCACTGTCCCCAGACCTTTCCTCATTTTCTTTACCAATTTGTTCCCCACCTAATCCGGGAGAAGAACCTATGAGAGGTTCCAACTCGGTAGAGTCTTTTTCTGTATATGAAAAAAAGGTTCAATAGAGGAACAAATGAATAAAAAAACACTTAAACACCCTAAACAAGTTAAATATAAAAGCTTAAATAAAAAAAAGGAAAATGAAATCTAATAATCCCACCTTTGCTCCTATCTTCCAGAAACAATCTCACCTTTTGAAATTTTAGAAACAATTCCATTAACAATAATGATATTATTATTATTATTATTATTTAATAGTAATAATAATATAATATAATATAATATAATATAATATAATATAATATAATAATAATATAATATAATATAATATAATAATAATATAATACAATATAATATAATAATAACAATATAATAATATAATAATAATAATAATATAATAGTAATATAATATCATATAATAATAATATAATACAATATAATAATAATAATATAATAATATAATAATATAATAATAATAATATAATATAATAGTAATATAATATCATATAATAATAATAATATAATATCATATAATAATAATAATAATATAATATAATAATAATAATAGTAGAAATAATAATAATAACAATAATAATAATAATAATTAAACATTAATATTAATTAACATTAAAAGTAGAATATTGAAATAATTAAAATAAGGTCAAATTAGAAAAAAATAAGTTCAGATCAGATCAGATCAGAAAAAATAAGTTCTGATCAGAAAAAATAAGTTCAGATCAGATCAGATCAGAAAAAATAAGTTCAGATCAGATCAGATCAGCTAAAATCAGGTGAACTAAACAACCTCTATATAAAGTACTCCAGAAGAGTATAAAATGTTGTCCAACAAGGTTGGCATGTATCAAGATTACAATCAATCCTCCAGTGGAGTATGGTTAATTGTCTTGCCAATTGTAGAAAGAAACACATTGGTGTACTTATATCACATCATACTCATGGCCATGCATAAAGTATCTCTAATAAGGTGATCACCATTATTATGAAACTAACCATAATTTAAATACTAAAGGAAAATTGATTGGATGTGATAATTAAATTAAGGCCATCTGGGTTCAATAAATACCCGTTATGCATGGAAACCTGAAGTTTCATTTGATAATGTGTTGACCCTCTCTCAATGTTAGATATATGAAATGAATTAAATGGTAAGACATAAAATTGAGATTGAGGTACAATAATTTATGTTGATGAAAATTTCAAGCATTAATATAGGTTTTGATTTTTGTATATACGAAAGAGTAATAGGTGACCAGAAGCTCATCAAAATTACTTATATATTATTGTCAAGTATTAGATGACCAGAAGCTCACCAAATACACTATTTAGGTCTTCAAAGATCCAAGAAATCACTATATAGTGGCTTTACATACAAGTGATTTCATTATTCTTGATTAGGGCTATTTTATGTCAGCACATAAGAAATAGAATAAGAAAATAGACAATTGCATAACACATGTCTCCCCATTGACATTAATCTCTAGAAGAGAACATATTACGGAAATTGTAATAATAAATATACATGCAATGTAAAGTTAATGAAGAAATGATTCTACATTGAAATTCTTCTCCAGAAGAGATAAATGTTGTTTAATACAAATCTTCTGAGAGATAAATTTTGATTGTGATCCTCGCATGAAATGTATTTTAATGCAATATTAAGTTGGTATAGAATTATACGCCCCTATAAATGAGATATTTTACCAACTTAGGGGGAGAAGAATCAGCAAAAGTTGGAAAATCGAAAAGAATTTGATGATCCCTATAATGGTAGTTTGAAAAGTTATATGCCAACTTTTGTCTATATAATATCAAGATATGTTGCACATTTATGATTTGTTTTGTATTCAGTTATGACTCATGTTGCATAGCGTTGAAGATACATTTTGGTCATATTATGTGTATATATTGAGATAAAATCTTGCCAATTATACTTGAATCACTACACCTGAAGTGTAAGTTGGATGACCGGTTCCAAAATAAAGATATGATATGTGGCAAGATAGTGCAGTTAACACTTTTAACAGTGTAATAGTATATTAATACCATAATGTATGAAATACCCCAAATAGAAGTGGTATATATATAGATATCTGAACTATAATAGATGGCCTATGACATGAGAAAGTCATAATGGTACGTACCAATTGAAAATGTATTCAGATATCATTACAAAATAGCATGCAGAATGTACATTAAAGAATTTTATGATGCCGGTACACAATGGAACCGATGAATAATGTGCATATAATATGCATGATAGCATGGACTAATGAATAAGGAATCTGAAATATATATGTCCATTTTGATGTCGACATAAAATGATCAAAAGTTTATTATAGACCAGAAGTCCAATGAAATATGGATTTTTAAATCCACACTGTATAGTGTCTTGCATCATTTTGAGTCTTATGTTCATGTGCATGTGTGAGTCATAGGTTAATGAATTACTTATTGCATGTGTAAGAAGTTGTTAGATGCATTACTCATTGTACATTTTGCTCAATATCTTATCATGATTTCTATATCTCAAATTGCATGCATTAGTTTCTATATAATATTTGTGGTATATGTAAATGTTCAATATATATATAGTAAGACATATTTACAAATTTGATGGAAGGAAAGACATATTTATATTCCAATGGGCTTATAATTATGATGAAATTATATATGACGTTGATCTAATATTATTTATGAATCATGTAAGAAAAGTTCCCGAAGAACTTATATGCAACGTATTTATAGCCCTACAAATTTTATTGCAATTATTATCAAACTCTTGAAAAGTCTATGTGACTACATCATTGACATCTCAACCTAAGCATATGAAAGTTAGTGAGATTTGCATTTTGTATTTGCAAGAGAGAAATCATGTCAATTATGAAACGTCTAAAGAATATCAATGGAATACTTATGCGTGAGAATGTTTTGTTATGGTCTAGAAGAACCATGATCAATGTATATAATTAAATATGTTATATTAATTCATACAAGATTGAATAGCAACATTAATAATATCATTTGTTGTCATTAAGGAATGTTTGATCAAATAATGATCATCGATTTCTATTATTCACGACCTCCAGAAGAAGGCGTTACCACATAAGTTTAAAGTAACTTTATTCAAACAAAGGTTTGGAATGATATAGAGATAAATCCATACATGGTGAAATGAAGACACTTTATATGTTCACGTGAAGACTTGAAGATGCAAATTCAAATTAGGAGGGTCGAAGAGCAAGGAATGATATTCTACTACATATGAGAAGACACCTCGCCATATTGAATTCATTGCAGCACTAGATAATCTCAAGTTATGTATTCATCAGGGGGAGAAAATACGCGCTGCACTCTTTTTCCCTTGACCATGGTTTTGTCCCACATTGGGTTTTCTTGGTAAGGTTTTTAATGAGGCAGCATATCGAGCGTATTACGAAGAAAGTTGTACTCTTTTTCCTTCATTAGGTTTTTATCCCACGGGGTTTTTCCTAATAAGGTTTTAACGAGACACACTCTTCGATAATGGACATCCAAGGGGGAGTGTTATGAAATATTATGTTGTGTGGATATCCATTATCCTCCTTTATCATTTTGGAATGTTCTAGATCTAGGGTTTATTGTTATCTAAGCAAACCCTAGTTATATTGTATGTATATATATATCCCCACTCTATGGAATAATACAGACTGATCAATTCTCTTTCAATTTTTCTCATATTTCTCCTTATTTTTTTAACAAAAATATTTTTTAAATTGTTAATCTATAAAATGTATATTCTCTTGAATCTTTAATTGTTAATCTATAAAATGTATTTTCCATGTTATACAAAAGAAGGATTTTAACTAAATTTAAAATTCATAACTTGTAAGCAAACTACAAAATAAAAATACTCTACATTAACGTATCACATCTATAATAATTTGATAGCATAATTAAATATTTAAATGTATACACAATCTATTAACAATTACGAAGTACAAACTTAGAGTAATTTGTAAAAAAAAAAAAAAAACCCTGTGAATATCCGAGCGTTGCTCGGGCAAAAAACTAGTATTATATATTACTAGCAAGAGCATCCATAAGTACATACGGGGTTACTTAGGAAGGATACAACCAATCTAAATTTGCTCAACATCAAAAGGAATAAAACTAGCAAGATTATGTGCCACCACATTTCCTTCTCTTCTCACATGACTCCATTGCAAACTTCTATAAGAAGCTCCCTGCTCCATTGCATCTCTAGCTCAGTGAGTTGTGTAGCACCTTTTGAAAGTTTATTCATAGCAACTTGACAATCACTCTCAACGATAACATCTTCATATCCATATTTAAGCCCCATTCTAATTGCCAATTCAATCGCCTTCGTTCGGCAACATCAACATGCCACCAGGCTCGAATCCGCTTCGTCATTGCAAATACCACATCTCCACTGTCATCGCGCGCTACAACACCTAAACCCACCCAGCCTTCTACTGCTAGCGACGCATCAGCGTTAATTTTGATAACCCCATTGGGAGGAGGAATCCAACGCCTTGGCCTGGTACGTGGGGGCAGTACCTATATGTTGGGGAGGGTTCTTCAGCTTTTCGCACTCCTCTGTCAACCGTAGCACACGAGCCTTTAAGACAGCAACTGGTGTTTCTTTCTCCAGGAAATTTTCACATTTCTATCTTGCCAAGTCCTCCACATTAAGTAGATACCTCTGATGTTCATGGTTTCATCCAACTTCCCCCAATTTTCAAACA